AATTAGATCCTCTTGGGATCTAGTTGGGGGAGAGTCTCCACGTTGAGATGAAACGTGCACACTTGCTGTGTTCGAGTAGCTGGATAGGGTAGTAGCAAATGGGTCTGCGGGGACCCCAAGGACTACCGGAGCCTTTTTGAGAGGCTAAGGTATCAGTCCGGTCACAGATTTGGCCAGTGGGTTTGGTTTTCCTTTTCTTGAGAATGGCGATGGGAGCAGAATCGAGATCAGAATCATCAGAAGACTCGGAGTCATCATCTGATGAGACAGTCTGTTGGATTTTTCGCTTCTTAGAGGGTTCTGCTTCCTTGGGAGCTTTAGCTTTCTTGCATGCTTTACGTTTCTTGGGGGTTTCACCTGTTGCTTGTGTTCTTCCCTTGTTGTGGGGGCATTGCTTGGCTGAGGCTAACTTCTTTTGCCTTTGAGCTAAGGGTAGATGAGATAAAGTTGTAGAAGATGGAGCTGCGGATTGCTCTGGTTGAGTGGGTGCGGTGGAGGCTAATATGTTCTGACTTGGGAGAGGCGGGGTAGAAAGGTATGGGTCAATACCTGTCGTAGCCTCAATATGATCTGTGACTATTTGGGTCTCAAGTCCAACCGTAGTCAAGATATGAATGGGTAAACGTCTGATTGGTCCAAAGATAGATTGATATTTAGAAGGAGCGTACCTTTTGAGATCGGGTGTGACAAAAAGGTTGATGTTGTTGCCCATACTGATCTTAGCGTCTGAATGAAGATCTGAAATGCACAGCGCCCAAAACCTTGCAAAAGTCAGCTCGGTTGGATTCTCCTTTGGAGTCTCCTTAGGGATGTACTGGAGAAAATCATCCCATAGGATTTGACCGTAGTTGACATCATGACCCACGAAGATGCTCCATACTATCTCAAGTAGTTTGAGGCCCATGTTGTATGTGCCTCCAGTTCGTCCAGACAGACTGCGGATCACGAAATGGCACACAAATTGCCATACCGCAGGCAGTTGGTTCTTCTTGAATTCTCCAATACCTTTGATCTGCTTCTGGTATCCCATTTGATATAGTGTGGAGGTGATATTTGTGACACTTGGGGAAAAGAACTTTGTTGAAGGATGCACCAGGAGGTTGATTGCAGTAAAAAAACTTGTCTTTGGTCAAGATAACCAAAGAGTCATCCACCAAGTTCAGATGAACTTCTTGAAGATTATCTATAGGGCGATAGGCTGACAATGCACATTTTAACAATGTGGAGATAGGAACCACATCAGTAAATACGTCGAAAGGACCAAAGAGTGGATGATTTGAGATGAACTTGATCATGAGACGAATCGAGTCATTGTAAGAAGGATGATCATCGAAAATTGCCCTAAAAGTGCTAGATGCAATTGAAGGCGATTGGTTCCGTGTGGTAGAATCAAAACCAGTTGGTTGAGCAGAGGCTGATGCTTTTGATGGTTTCTTTGAGAGTCCTGATTTCACCATTTTGAAAAGTTGAAAAACTTGCAGGAAAAATTGAAGTGCAAGAGGGAAGAAGAGAAGTTGTTCGTCTTTGAGAGATCAGAAAGCGTATAACTTTCTTGGAGAGAAAAGGAGGTTTTTTATAGTGGCGGATTTCAAATATTTATTGTTTTAACCCTAAAGAAAAGTGGTTAAGGATAAAAACCTTTGAGTTTTTTTATTAAGGAAATCATTATCAGCCACAAAACATTTAACTAAAAGTTTTTTTTTTATATTTTCAAAAATGGCATTTAAAGAAATGTCAGGCCCAATACCCCATGTTTGAAGAACGTGTGGTGAGGGGCGATAATCCGTTGGATAAAGGTGGAAGTCGTAACGGATGTGACATTTTGGGGGTAAGAGGAAAAGACAGTTTAAGGAAAAGATTTTCTAAAAATATTTCTTTTATTGGAAACTATTTTATTTTGGCATCACACATAAAATAGGTCTGAAAAAAGGTTTATTTGAAAAGAAGAACTGAAACGATCATATGCTACAAAACGAATATTTTTTTAGAAGGTTTTTCTTATTTAATGAAGGATCATTAAATAGCACACAATGTTTCAAGAATTTATGAAGTAGTTGAAAGTTCCATCACTGTGATTGCGGTTTGAGTCTTTATTGCGGATGAAGACTTCATTGCGGATGACTGGTTAGATGACTGCGGTAGAAGAAACTGAGAAGAACACTTGAACATGATCAGAGATAACAATTAAAAAATGACCCTTGAAACATAAGTATGATATATGGTTGCGGTATATATGGTATATTGCGGTACATGAAATGTATTGCAGTACACAAGATACACTGAAACTATATAAGATAGATATATTTAGTTAGGACCGCAATGGCGACCAAGAGTGGTCTGCGATACCTATCAATTCAAGAAGAATTGCGGGTCTGGATTCATCATTCCTACCATTTGTAAGAAACTGTTGAGTTTTGTAGAGTCAAGTGCTTTTGTGAACACATCAGCAATCTCTTCATGAGTATGAACAAAAGTTAGTTCAATGTTACCTTTCAGGATGTGATCTTTAATGAAGTGGTACCGTAGTTCAATATGCTTCGTCTTAGATTGGTGAATAGGATTATGAGAAATCACTATGGTACTCTTTGAGTCACAGTAGATCGGTATCCGCAGCATTCTATATCCGTAGTCCATAAGTTGCATTTTCATCCATAAGACTTGTGAGCAACAGCTGGCTGCTGCAACATATTCAGCTTTTGCGGTAGATAGTGAAACACAACTCTGTTTTCTTGATGACCAACTGACAAGTCTTCCACCGAGAAATTGACATCCACCTGAAGTGCTTTTTCTGTCCAATCTACATCCAGCGTGATCCGCATCTGTGAATGCTTGTAGGCTGAAATCGTTCCCTGCGGGATACCATAGACCTAGAGATTTGCTGCCCTTTAAGTATCTGAGAATCTGCTTGGCTGCGGTCATATGAGATATTTTCAGATCCGCTTGGTATCTTGCGCATACTCCGGTTGCAAAGACAATGTCTGGTCGGCTTCCAGTGAGGTACATCAACGAACCAATTATACCTCTATATGTTTTGTGATCCACTGATTCTCCGGAAGGATCAGCAGAAATCTTAAATCCGAAGGCCATTGGGACCTTGGCCGAGGAACAGTTGTCCATTGAGTATTTCTTCAGAAGTTCAGTGGTGTATTTCTCCTGATGGATGAATATCCCTTGAGGGACTTGTTTTACTTAAAGTCCTAGAAAGAAATTAATCTCTCTATTCATGCTCATTTGGAACTTGTTGGTCATGAGCTTTGCAAATTCATCCACCATCCCCTGATCCGTTGATCCGAATATGATATCGTCCACATATATTTGTACAAGCATAAGGTGATTACCATTTGCCTTTCTAAATAAAGTGGGATCAATCACTCCTCTTTTGTATCCAGGCGAGACAAGAAATTCAGAGAGAGTTTCGTACCACGCTCTTGGTGCTTGCTTTAGACCGTAGAATGCTTTTTCAAGCTTGTAACAGTGATCATGGAATTCAAGACATTCGAAGCCTGGAGGTTTCTGAAGATAAACCTCCTCTTTCAATTCACCGTTGAGAAAAGCACTCTTCACATCCATTTGATGTACTTTAATGTTCTTGTGAGCTGTGTATGCTAAGAAAATGCGGATGGCTTCCATTCGAGCTACTGGGGCGTATGTTTCATCATAATCAACACCTTCAAGTTGACTATATCCCTTAGCGACTAGTGTCGCTTTGTTCCGGACAACCGCACTGAATTCGTCCAATTTGTTCTTCTACACCCATCTGGTACCAACAATGGTGTGACCTTTTGGCTTCGGAACGAGTTGCCACACTTTGTTTCTTTTAAACTCTTCCAGTTCCTCTTGCATTGCTGCAATCCAATCGGGCTCCATTAATGCTTCTTTGATGGTTCGGGGCAGCAAATTGATTGAGGAGGCTTCAATACAATCTGTCACATAACTTCAAGTACAGCTTCACCTTGCTTCTGGGGTTGAAAGATTGAATGTTGAAAAATAATCTTCACTTCTTGTTCCTTTGAATGAGAATTCTTCAATGATCACCATTACTCCTTGAAAAGTAATAAATGACTAAAAACTCCTTGTGAATCACAGAATCATAAAGACCCTTCTCACCACAGTTGTTCAAAGATGTAACCTTGGCTCAGAAAGAGACTACTCGCGGAATCTGTGTGAAAGTACAGTCTCCTTGAGTCTCTTCTTCCTTTGAGTTCTCGTTTTAAGACAAATGAAATTTTGAGATAAAGACAAAACTAAAAGTAAACTTAGCACACAAATAAAAATGACTAAGAAAGAAATAAAAATAAAAAGTAAAACACGCTCAAAAACAATAGTTTTTGGATTTTTTTGATTTTTCCGAAAAAGAAATAAAAAACAGAAATAAACATATTTTTGGATTGTTTTAATTTTCTTATTTTTGTTTGATTTTTAATTTTTTAATTTTTTTTATTTATTTATTATTTTTTTTACCACATAAATGGTGTGATTTTCTTATTCCATTTATCAATCACACAATACACTATAAACTATCGCCTACCCCCAAAAAGAAACTAAGAAAAATGAAAAATGGGGATACGCACGAAATATATATGAATTCACATACACACATACACACAACTAAAACAAAAAAAACAATTATAATGTAAATGGAACACTCGTTTCACGATCAAACTGCAAACAAGAAGACCAGAGAAAAGTTTTGCAAAACCTTTTGAAAGGTTGCCCTCCACAGCACACGATGGGCTACTACTCATTGCACATCCCTCCCGAAAATCAGTTTGCCTTCTTTTTTAGTTCATAATTGTATTTGAATCCCTAAATTCTTCCTCACCCAATTTCCTCTTCATCCCAGGAAGAATTTTCAATCCAGGGAGAGAATCAACAATTGGTTCGGTTTCTAAGTCACCACATCTGCAAGAGAAACTACGAGCATCTTCAGATCCATTTATGATATACATATGCTCCACAAACTCATCAATCAAAACAGGCCAAGCTCCTTCAAGATCATATCATTCAAGATTTTCATGAACACATCGGCTAAATGCCAAAACTTGTCGCCATGTGTCCTCTGAGATATTGTGCCTCTGATTTTTCTCAACAAAACTGCACCATTGATTGAGTAATTGGAACCTTCCGGATAAAACTAATTTACATGCAATGATTGCTCTGCTTACAGTTATGCTTCTTTGACCATTTTCTCGGCATATGAAGAACATAAAGTTATAGAAACGTGAGAATTCACATGATTCTACCATCAAATCAAGCCTTGACATGAGCATAGGAATTTCTTCAAGTATTGGCATTCTTTTGTCCAATCTTGACTCAACTACTTGTAGGAGCTGGGATAATGCATCTCTATATAGTTCGGATTTCTTTGACTCATTGACTGGTTTGTAACCATCTTCTCCAAAAGCATATGCCTCTGATGTGATTTCACAATAGCGCCGGTAAATCTCGAATATGTCGAGCCGATTTGAAACGGATGAAGAATCCATCGTCGCTATGGAGGTTGATGAATAAAAAGGAGATTCTGGTTTCGGGATTCGTTGAAAACGAAACCCTAAACCATCGATTCCTCAAAAATGAATCACTTGTCTTCTAGTTCCTAAATTGAGGAGATTCCAGTACGTTTCTGCGTATGGGTCCGATTGATGGGGATCAGGGAGGTGATAGTTTCCCAAAACTCAAAGGCCTGACCGAAATCACATATGATTTCGGTCCAACCAACCGAAAACCCAAGACTGATTTCGGCCCAAGACCGAAAACTATAAATGCCTAGAAAAGCAAAGTATAAACCATAAATTTAGACCTAAAACATTTTCTAAGCCAAGACTTCACTTCTTGCAAAAGTGGAACATTGTTTCCTATAAGGAGTATGCCATCATTATATAAAACTAGAAGGGTCACTATACTCCCACTAGATTTGACATACGTGCAAGACTCATCCTCACTTCTAGAAAATCAAAACTCTTTGATATTTTCATGGAAACAAAGATTCCAACTGCGAGATGTTTGTTTAAGTCCATAGATAGACTTCTCAAAATTAACCTTATTAGGGAATTTGGCATGTTCAAAATCTTCTGGTTTTTTGTGTGAAAATCCCTTTTAAAGATTCCTTAAAAAATCTTCAAAAAAAATTTCTTAACAAAAAAATCATAATTTTCATTAAAAACAATAACAAATTTGCAAGTAAGAGTATTCACAACAAGGACTTGCAAACACAATTGCAATGTCACTTCATCAATTTCAGATGCCACATACTATTTGGTCTTTCAGCTTTTGAAAGGATTGCAACTTTGGTTTATATTACTTTTTTAATCAAATGTCATTAACTAAATATTAAAACCAATTATATATATATATATATATATATTATATATATATATATATATATATATATATATATATATATTGCAAACGTATTTGAAACCAATTTAAAGAGATCGATGATAATATTGTAATGTTTAGATTTATTTGAATTATAGATAATTATATTTATGTTAATTTATTACTTATTATTATTAAGTATTAATTTTATGTGGCAGTAGGGACCATTTTTGAAAGATGAATGATACTGCCGTGATATAGATGTTATTGCAAAAGTTGATGCGTCATGTTTGAAAGAATAATCGGCATGTGGAATGTTTGAAAGACTAATTGGCATTGCAGGGATGTAGATGGTCTAAGTGGACAGTAATTCCGCACGTCAAACCTTTAAATTCACATGTCAAAACTCAAAACTATGAATTCACAGGCTAACTTGCGATTTTTTTAAAAATTGTTTTAGAAATGTAATCTTTTGGCCATTTTGCAGGTCAAATATTATACCTCTAAATTTTAGAAAACCACTAATTTTTGGCTAAATATCGAAACAAGCTTAAATGAATTAGCTAGATATGTATTTTTGTTCTTTTAAAGTAAATTTGTTGCAAGTTTTAAGAAAAAAGAATAAAGCATTTGCAAGATCATTTGTTAATGTTATCTTGCTATGTACAAGTGTCAACAAATATCAAGGAGCTTTCATGATTGCATATTCCATGAAGTTTCCTAGCAATAAATTCTTTTAACCGTAACTTTTTTTAATATATATGTCAATTTACATTTCTAATATAAGTAAAAGGGGCTCTTGGACCATAGAAAACCATTGGTGCTAAGACCGAAATGGGTGTTTGTTTTGGGTTTTCTTAGTCGAAATCTTGAACCATTTAATTATATGATCATCTTTGTTCTATGGGTAGTGTCGTTCTTGTTGTTGCTCTAGTGTTGGTGTTATTGTTATCCATGTGTGCGTTGCATAGATGTTTCACAGTTAACGAGGATAAAAAACAAGTTAGTAGTGACCAACGTGATATAAATACTTCTCATGAGGTTTCAATAGGTTGTTGTGGTGGTGGTGATGGTGGTGGTGATGGAGGTGGAGGTGGAGGTGGAGGTGGAGATGGAGGTGGTTGTGGTGGAGGTGGTTGTGGTGCATGACAAGCCTTTGTTACCAGACTTGACGTTATGTAACACTCAGTGCTTGCATGATTCCATGCGACAAAACAGCTACAATTGATTTTTCTTTTTGATGTTAAATAATAAGTAGATCCGTTCTTTATTTTTGTTATTTGGTGAATTTTTTAAAACTATCTACACTACTACAATTTGTCAATTCAACTTCTCTTATCTTCCATGTATGAAATCAGTTTTTATAATTTGCGTTCACACAGTGCAATGTAAAACACTCTTCAAAGTAACCATATTCATCCATCAACAACAATTTTTTATTTTTTATTCTATTATTATAATTATTAATAACTAATATATAATCATCAAACATTATTGTAATATATATATATATATATATATATATATATATATATATATACACACTAAAGTCCCAATATTTTCATCGATTTGACAAGAAAGTCCTAAACTTTATTTTTTTGACAGTCCAAATTACCGGTAATTTTTGACACTTTCACCCTTTTTTCCCGGTTAGCCGGTAATTACGACTTTTTTGTCAAAAAAAATAAAGTTTAGGACTTTCTTGTCAAATCGTCAATTAGGACTTTATTGTCAAAAAAATAAAGTCTAGGACTTTCTTGTCAAATCGTTGAAAATAATAGGACTTTAGTGTATATCTCCTTTTTTTGATAAAAATTTATTGGTAGGATACTCTTTAAGCATAAGAGTTATTAAAACTTTCTCTAGTCAGCTAGATCCTATTGAAATACTTAACATTTGCTTCTTGTTAAATCGTTTTTTTAATCTCAACAAACAAACATTGAAAAAAATGGAGATAATCAAAAAGAAAGAAAGAACAAGGGTTGTGTTGGCTTTTTGCTGTCCCAAAAATGGAGAAATAAGAAACCGAACCCTGGTTCTTTCTTTCTTTCTCTCTTGATTATCTCAATTTTTTTCAATGTCGGTTTGTTGAGATTAAAAAAACGATTTAACAAGAAGCAAACGTTAAGGATTTCAATAGGATCTAGCTGATTAGAGAAAGTTTTAATAACTCTTATGCTTAAAGAGTATTATACCATTAAATTTCTAACCAAAAAAATTATATATACACTAAAGTCCCTCATTATATATGCATTATATATATATATATATATATATATATATATATATATATATATATATATATGTATTATATATATATATATAATATATATATATAAAAAGATATATATATATATATATATATATATATATATATATATATATATATATATATATAATGCATATATAATGAGGGCAAAAAATTTTAAGACCAAAGTTTTAAAACAAAGAACTTAAATCTAAACCATTTAATTTTACATCTAATACATATAATAGCATACAATTAGTATCTTTGTAAACTTAAAATAACCATTCAAAAACAAAGTTTTGAATCAATACCAATTTTCACTCAATATAAAAGGACATCAGTTACTAAATTTACAAAATATTTCATTTCTTTGAAACCATCTTTTTAAAAGGCGTACAACCCCCCCCCCCCCTATTCGTCTTCTTCATTGTCGCTCAAACTTTCCATCGATAGAAACTGGTAACACCTCAAATTTCAAAAACAATTTTTCATTTTTATTTCACAAAACATTATTCATAAATCCAAGTCATCACAAAATTTTAAATCATTATCAAAATAATATTAGAGTATCCTAAAATCCACAAGACATCATAAGCCCGCGAATGTGTACAATCATGCCTCCGCCTTCTCGGAATCTACAAAAGTACCTGAAACACATTTAAATCAACACTGTAAGCACGAAACTTAGTGAGTTCCCCAAAATACCACATACACAAATAATTAGCCTCTCATGGCTATATCTCGATAAGGACCCTCTGGTCATGTGTCTCAATGAAGGCCCTCCGGCCTCACGTCTCGGTATGGACCCTCTGGTCATAACTCAATATATATATATATATATATATATATATATATATATATACACAGAATAATATCACAGCATAAGTCACAAAGACAGAATGCATAATAACACATATCTCAGTATAAGTAAATAAGACCATTCGGTCATTGACTACAAATAAGACCCTCCGGTTTAATACTACAAATAAGACACTCTGGTCAATAACACGAATAAGACCCTCTGGTCACACATAAATTACCACACAGGTAAGTATAGTGAGAAGACTCACCTCGGATGATAAACAGATCCTATAAATGTTGTTGTTGCACACCAGCCCCAAACACTGAGCCAAACCCACAACTAAACTCAATTAGGATCTAAGACTAAATCCAAACATTAAGTGTAAAGATGGCCCACAAATGGCCAAAGTCTATTAGGCCCACTAAGGCCCAATACCGAATGGGCCTACCAAGGCCTAAACCCAAACCTAGGCCCAAAAGGGCAAGCCCAACCAAAAGGGTCTAAGACGCTAATATTCCTTTGTCCAAAATCCCAACACAAAAGCCCAAGACCAAGACCCCAAAGACTTAAAGTCCAAAAGCAAAAACGAGCCCAAAAGCCCACAACAAGCTTACGCGGGACGTACCCTCTTGGTACGCTCAGCGTACTCGCGATCCTAGACGGGGGACTTAATCAGTACGCAGGGCGTACTTGAGCATTACGCAGGGCGTAACTACTCAGGCCCAAAACTTGAATATTGTCTTAATCACTTAAACTCAATGCATCCAACCCTCAGGGAACTTCATTATAAGCCCTTAACTGATAAAGTTGGCAACTTTATCAGTTTGCATGCCTTAATGGGACCCAACTTCCAAAAATAACCATTAAGACTCATATTAAGCACCTTAACACATGCATGGATGACCCTTAACCCTAAAGGTGCCGAATTTAAGGGTCTAGAACCTCAGAAATGCTAAGAGTAGCAACTCAAAGCTCTTAAAGTCGTAACAACCACAATATCTCATCCATAAGATCCAAAAAGAGGACAAATCTTACATAACCATAGATCTAGACTTCTAAAGAGCAACTTCAGATCTTTCTAGCTCAAATGAGCTAGAAATGGAGTAGAGAGTCTGGAT